TGGTTAACTTTTTTCCTCACACGCTGGTGAACAATGACGTGATCAAAACTCAGAAGACGGTTTAGAGGCAGAAAAATGTCACTATATATTGATGGGGAATGATATGATGAATTGTCCTTAATATGAAAAGGCACATAAATGAACTAACATGGTAAAAAAGGGTTTTAATTCATTTTTAATCAGGTTGACTTTAAAGGGATCCCAAAAAGAGAAGAATAGTGACTAACCAATGCCACTTCCTGATAGATGTTAGATGTACGGTACATGATGTACCAAGAAGTTCCACAGCAGTGCTAGAGAGAACCCAGTTCTCAATTTTGGATCTGATTCTTCTTTAACTCCTAATTGCCACTTCAGTCATCATTCCATTTACGTAACAATGCCTTTACCCAACCATGAGGTTAGACTACAACACTCATCTAAGCCTTTATGACTGCTAACCTCCGCATGAACTAATTTCTTGATGTTCTAAATCTGCCCTGTCTTCATGAGTATCTTTTATTTTGGGGAACCGGTTGATTTAGTCAGTGTGCTTTAACTCACTAACTGATGTTAGGTTCTTCTAGCTGGCCATCCTCTGACAGTACAAATTGCTGCATCCATGTGTCATAACAGCTTACCAAGATCTGAATCTCTGTCTGTGGTTTACTCATTAATTTTAGCTACTTGCCACGAACACCTCCGTTTTCACTTCTCTCAATTTGCACTGCTGAAAATATCTCTGATGGAATAATCTTAGCAACAGGTATACATATATAAGCATGATTCACATAATGGCATAATTGAGAGAAATTACAGATACATACAGCTTTCCACCAAAACGTCCATCTACAAGGCTACATGCTTATTTTTTTGGTAACAGCAGGTCCTAAAGGAAAAATGTCTTTCTTAAGATCATGTTTTCTTAGAAGAAATAAAGCATCTTGGATGCCAAGTTTCTGAATCATTTCTCATAAATTATCCTCAGCAGAAATGATCGGCTTAACTTAATTATTTAATTGAAAGAAGTTCTGGCAATAAATGAGAAAATGAAAGACCTCCTTCTACACTGAAAGATGCGAAAAGATTTAAGAGATGTAGAAGAGAGCTTAATCTGTAGTTTATCTGAGAGCAGTTTATCTGTCATTTACCTTAACTGACAGCTCTTTTCCAAAGTGTAATATCTAAAAAAAAAGAGAGTTAGCAAAACAGACACAAGGAACATTTTTACTGCAGGAAACCTGAAACCGACAAACAGCTAAGACAGTGAGTGTTTACATGCACTTAGCAATCCGATAACTGCAGAAAATCAGATTTTGTCAGTAATCCGTTCAATGTATTTATATGCACTTAAGTGAATGTTCAAATTCTTCATTTAATCAAGCATGTAGTTGGTTTCGGCATCAGTCCAAAATTGCTGTGTTGCTATTTTGCAAGTGCTGTGCTAAACGCTGCTTGCTATTTTCCAGACAGCTGTCTGTTTCCACACATGCACAGACTGAGAAATTCAAAAGAAATCAGAGTGAGAGTATACATGCGCTGAAAAACCGATTTATGAGCTAAAATCCAGCTCTTTTTTGGATTTCTTAATCAGATTTCTAGGTTCCAATCCATTCTGAGAAATCACAGTATAACCAGATAACTGCTGACAATCCAATAATGATCACTCTACTGTGCTCCGCAGTATCAGCATAGCTATAATGCTTAAGAGAATATTTCAAGCCTTATTAACTTTGTACATGAAACTATGCAGACCTGATAACAGAACTACTATAGCCTTTTAGTATTGGTTAGCATTGAGTTCTGCTGGCTAGTACACTGCGTGGAGCATGCAGTGTTATGTTAGTAATATCTGCATGACTATGATCTAACAATACAAGGGATTATTCTCTGATACTCCAACTCAAATGCCTTTGCTTCAACATACTGATGTTAGCGAACATTCTCCCATCAAGCAGCATGCTTACCAACTAAACTCAACTAAACATGCAAATATGTAAGCCAAGCTCCAGTATCTACTTAACAACAGCCTTACCATACGTAGCTGTAGCCTGTGGAGTTCTGCTTGTAGTATAGTTCCAAAACCAGATAGAACGTTGCATTTTTGTGCAGATTATCATAAAGTTAATGCCATTACCAGCTCTGATTCATTCCCATTGGCTTACATGGATGATTGTGTGAACAGTGTAGGTACGTGAGTAAACTTTTAAAAAGCTACTTGCAGGTCCTGCTAACGCAGTGTGCTTCAGAAGTTCCTGCAGTTCACTGTTCGCTGTACACAGGTCACCAACAGCCACGCTCTTTCACTACATGTTAGGCACACGAACTCCACTACCCAACCCCAGAGCCCAACAGAGCATAGCACAAGTAACCTGCCAACACATTTTAAACCCCAAACAACTTATTTACAGGTTTAAAGTCTCTTGCTTACCGGGAGCAGCGTCTCCCCAGAGCCCATGCATCCACAGCCAAAGGAGCTAATAGCGGGATGCTACAATACCATTAGAGACTATCAGACACCACCAGGAACCAACAGAAACTTTTAATGTTTTCCATTAATTTTTTTTCAGCAGGGTTATGAATTGTTTGTTGTCAGGAATATGAGGCGTATTTGGATGATGTCACAGTGTATTATTCTACTTGGTTTAAACATCTAGGAACTTCTTGCACAGTTTTTAGGAGGAGATGGGACAAGGTCATTTCTTTAATGCTAAAGTGGAGGCTGTGTGTTAAATTTCTAGTACAAAAGGTGAGCTACGACACTTTCTAGGGACCCGCAGTCATTCCTGAGGTTATTGCAGAAACTTTGTTACATTTGTACTGACTTTCTTAGTAATTCTCGCTCATTTATTTGGTGTACAGCGTCGGCAGGCTCTCGACACTGTTAAAAGCTTTTGCTTTGTTGCGGCCTGTGCTTTGTCATGACAAAATTTGAAAGACCTTTCAAGCTCGCAGTTGATGTTAGCAATACTGGAGCTGGTGCCATTGTTTTACTGGAATTGATCACCCACTTTGCTATTTTTCCAAGGCATTAGCTTAATTATTTAACTACAGACATTACTAGCCTTTTGAAGTGCAGGGGAGCGGGGGAACAACCTAACATGGGGCACAATTTAACACAGACTTTTGATGTTTTTTAAAGAAAGTCAGGCACTGTGTGTTTTTCGCCACATTACCACATTTCCTAGCCACGGCCTCCCGCAGTTTGTCAGTGTTTAAAGAGATCTGTGCCAAAGAATGTTTTCAGGGCATGCAAGTAATTTTTTCAAACACGTTTTTTCTTGTTTACTCAGCTATTTGTTTTAATCACAAACTACAAACTTATATTATTTTAATGTATATATTACTTTAACACGTTGTTGCCTACAATGCAGCATTTTGAAGCAGCTGAGAAGCTCACAGCAGGTGCTTGCTACACTTAAGTACAGCCTCTATTCTGCGGGGTTAGTTACACGGCTGTCTGTCTGTCTGTCTGTCTTATAGAAAATATAGAATGCAGTTTGGTTGGAAAAAAGAGACACAGAAAAAAACATAGAATTATGTTGCAACATTGAATTAACTTTGCACAAAGTTTGTTAGACTTTTCTAGCAAGTGTTAAATTAACCCTATGTCTGTTACAGTTAACCCACCCATGGGGTAAACTGTAACATTGACCTGTCCTGTCATTTTCAGTGGAATTTGAAGAATCCAAACCCTAACTAACCAGGGAACTAGGTCTGTTGTCTGGAGAAGTGAAGTTTATTTGTTGTGCGCGCAGGTTCCAGACATCCAGCCAGCCCGTAAGACATTGGACTGACACAGTTTTATAGCTGGACTGATGCCAAGATTAAACCCAGCTTATATAGGACAAGTAACAGGTGTGACAAACATGACCATATAGGGAGAAACACAAAATAGGCAGCCTAAAATACAACTTCAGCACATTCACACACACTACAGAACGTATAACACAGCACATTTCACAACAATATTCCTTCAAACTGTTCACGAACAGTAGGTGGAATAAACAAAGTTCAAGTGTTCGTTTGTAGCAGAGATGTGTATGTGGCTTGTATAAAAATATAATTATTCCAACTTAAATATTTTTAAAATTACTCAACAAAGACCAAAATGTGTTGTGCCCCGCTCTCCCCCGTGTTGGTTCAAGTTTGCAGGCAGTCATTGTTTACACTGACCACAAGCCTTTAATATTTTTGAACTGTTTGTGTAATTCGAACCAAATGCTAATGAGGTGAGCTCTGTTGGTTCAGTTACACTTTGGATGTGTGGCGTAAGTGCAGTTCTGAGAGTGTTTTGACTGATGCTCTCTTTTGCATTTAAACATTTTCTGAGCTATTTAAGGGAATGCGTTACATCCTAGGACATATTCTTTAATGTCATTTAAACATGTAACTGGTCTGGTGTTGCCCTTTTCATTTTTTCTTTCTTCCAGACTGCCATTTTCTGGCTTGGAGAATGGCCCACGTGGTAGCTGAACGTTGGTGCTTCACGATTATTCGATGACATTTGACGCAACACTGAAAAAAAGCCCCAAACAATGAGCAGTGGCTGCCCAGGGTGCTCCAGTCTGGCCCCAGACACCACATGGTCACAGCAGTTTGGGCTTTGGGCTAGCCTTGTAGTTGTTAGGGTTGTTGAAGGTGACTGTACATTATTTCTCGTTTCTGGACTAAGGAAGGATGTTCTGTGGGTGGTTAGTTCTTCTTTTGTTGTTTTGGCCTTAGCCCAACTCCTGTTTTGATTAATAATACTATTTATATATGTCCGCGTAAACTTCAAAAGGTAAGTTGCAGCATTCTGGCAACCTTTTTGGCTTAAGTCCAACTTCGTTGTGCTGGTCTTTTATTTTATGTTATAGTCTACTAAACCCTAAACTAAGGATTAGCTGGGGGGGTTCTTTGGAGGTTGCAACAATGAGGATCTTCTTACTTTTTGCATTCTCATATCTGACATCCGGTGTATGTCTAACTCATGAGCAGTTCCCCAGATCTCTGACATTTAGCACTGGCTTATCTCCAACTTTCCTTTGTATGATAAGTGACTGTTTAATTGCAGATTTTTATAATTTTACATCAGTGCACATACCGAAATACACATCTAATTCAGCTCACAATAGTGGCCAGAACAGACAATGTTTTCTGTGCAACATGACAGGTTTGGACAAACTTTGACATCTGTTTCCTGGGGGCCACAAGCAATTGCCCAATATTCGTTTCTGGTAATATGCATCATCACATTTTCTGCACTTCGCAAAGGAACTGCAGTAGAAGTACTTTTATGATTTTACTGATGTGTCAGATACAACACAATGTCGTGGTAATACAGTACAAACAACCTACAAACTGCCTTCACCCCCTTCAGTCTTTTCTGACTTTATTGAGTCTCCTACTCAAAAATGCTTGCATGTTACAGGAAAAAACAATGAGATCTTGCTGTCATCAACAATGAAGTAATGTTCTTTGCCTTAAATAACTCAAATAATGTTTACTTTAGAAGCTCCTAACGGGTTATCTGATCACCTAAAAAATATCTCAAAGAGGGTGTGATTACAATCTTACACACTCAAAACCCACATCAACCATGCTTGCTGTGACAGCATCCTGTGATACAGCATGAGAAAAAAAAGCTTCTGCACAATTCTCACACTTTTCGTTAACCACTGTCAGCTTTTGCATCAGCTCAGACCCTGGCTGGGTTAAAGAACTTTCCGGTGTAGCGACCATGGTTGTGGAGGTCAAAGGGGCTAATGACCTTCCGGATGCCCAGCATGTTGGATCTGGCTATTCTTTGGAAGGTCCAGGGGTTCTGGTTGTTGGCCTCTTTCTCAGCTTGCTCTTGCTGCATGGCAGCCAGACTTTCTCTGCTCATCACCTAAAGGTTAAGAAGAACATACATTGAGTTGCCAGTTCATTACAGCTCACAGTTCAATTCTACCTTGTTGCTACACTCACTGGCCATTTTATCTATTATATGGACGACTATATAGACTATATATGCACTTTGTAGGTTTACATTTACTGACAGTAACTCATGTGTTACTGCACAATTTGTTAGGCCCCCTTCATCAATGGGACCTCCATATGACCTCTGCAAACCAGACAGACTACTCTAAGCACAACAGTGACATCATCTGTGGCGTATTAGTGCTGTGCTGATATCAGGAAAAGCATAAATAAATAAATAAATAAATAAAATTAGATACACTTGCTGTTAGGTACACGTGTACTTATAGATTATAGCTTGTACTGTAGCTCATCTTTTCTTCATGCTTAATTACTGTTAGTCTGTTAGGGTTCTTCGTTTCTGGTATTGGAGGTCTAGAGTGCAAAAGCTACACCCAACATTAGCCTCTGACACCTAGTAATGCCTACAGATGACTTCTGTAGAAGAAGACAAGACCACACAAGCTGACAAAGACAAAATAAAGTAAAAGGCAAACCTTTGCTGGGAAAGGCAGTTTCTTTGCCACTTCTTTAAGCACCGATTCCACCTCGCCGAGTTCAATGTGGCCTCCAACCTCCACTATTAATCGGCCACTCTTTACTGGAGTAACATAGAAGTCAATGGCTCCTTTGCCTCCGCCCATCCGCTGGCCCAAGCCCTTACGGGTAAGGGGCTTATATGGGGCATTGATGCGCCAACGAGCAAAAGTGGTCCTCGGGTCTAAACGCCGATTAATGGTGAGCCTCATCATCTCCATATGTCCCCACTGTAGATAGCCTCCACCCATGGCCTACAACAGACGGCAAAGGCAAGAGTATTCACTTAAGAGAAGACTTTGGAGTGAAATGCTCAAATCAGATCTCTCGTTTTATGTTCATTCAAATATTTTTATTAGTAATTAGCCTGGCACCAGCGATCCTGTTTTCTGGATTTAACATGAGTCAATCGGTCTACAGTCATTCTTTTGTGGTACATAGCAGAATATGTCCAATTTGTCATGCTAAAAAAAACAAGTCTCTGAAATGAAGAGATGATTTTACCACAGTGCCCATGCCTGCTAGGGCATGTGAAAACAAATCTGGCTGACTCAGTTCATGAAACATCAGTTGAAAGGGGAAGAGAATATGCATCATGAACAATCAACAATAACATCAAGGGCAGAGGGGTCTTTCCGCTCATAAGTGATATCTAGGGCTGCAATCACTGAACGTCACATTTTTGAATGATAAACAGTTATTTCCACAGCAAGTAGCACAAATTGCTCATGTTGCCTGTTCTGTTGGAACATATCAGTGATGTGCGATGCAGGAGAGCAGAGGAAACAGGAAACCATCTTTATATATAAAAAAAAAAACCCCTTTTTTGGTCAACTCTTGTCAGCGAATTGCAGAATGGGGGAGTATCTTGGAATCTGTTCAAGATTTTACCTGCTTTCAACCAGAGCACTTGCTAAACTCTGTGCAACGTCAGTGTTAATGCCCGGTGCAATCTGAATGATTTTCTACCCGTTTCGGGCAGCTCGCTAGCAAGCGCACTCTTTTATTCTGTGAAATAAAATATCAAAAAACATGCCAGATAGCTAGCAATCCAGAGCAGGAGCAAACTTATTTGGACTGTACTGGGTGATAAAGACCAATTGTCACCTCAAATCATATCAGTTAAGAACCTAAAGGGCCTGTGTGCCTCTGGGAATTTCATACTATCAATGGCAAGCTAGCATTTAGCTTGACAAACAAACTGTTGTTTCCCCCAGAAAAAGTGGTAAAAGTCTAAGTTATTCAAAAGGCTTTATCAATTTTCAATATTAAATGATGAAAATTATTGATCATTAGTAAATATTTGTATCACAGCTCTTGTAAAATCACATTTATAAAACCAATATTTGTGGCCCTATTTTGATTGACTGGACCACCTTTAAAGCCATTGTAAAATACTTTAGTTCACCAAGTCACAAAAAACCGTGTTGTGAATGGACTGCTATGCTGCTCTTATGGAATATCCACCAACAGGTTAAACAACTAGTCATTGTTGGGCTTTGAATTTTATTTTTTACTGAATTAAATATTTTTTGAATGTCATATTCCAAGCGTCCATGTTTTGGTTAGTTTGCCTTAAGCAGTACGAGTTCCACGAATGTGAATAATAAATAAAATTTAAAATAAACAATGTGGCACCGTGGCTTCATGCTAACACAACACAGGAAATCACATTTAAGCGCTAGTGGAAACCAACATTTCCCATTAATTACCTAGATTGTAGCAGCGTGACAGTCTAATTTGTCCTACCAGTTTCATAATGAACTGAAAATATCTTTACACTTCACAAAACAACAAACAATGCTGTGTTTTGCCCAGTTGCCAAGAAATGTTAAGTTTACAGTATCCACTGCAGGTATCCACTAGTCCAAACACAGCCTTATCCTTATCAGTGCAAGACAGCAAACAGACAACGTCAATACAGAAGTTATCATTGATAATTAAGATTAATCTAACTTTAGCTTAAGGTAGGGAACATTAACGCGAATGTGTCTAACACCCATCTCCTCACTGTAAAAAAAAAAAGTGTTCTGTTGAAGTTGTAGAGTTTTAACTGAGTCAGAAAAGTTGACATCAATACTACTAACACATCTTTTTTTCATGATCCTTCAAAATACAACTGCATGCTTTAACCAGAGCTATTGTGATATTTCAGCGAGTTCTGAGATGTGATACTTTGTTAAGGTCTTTGCCGCAGCTGGCACGGCAGCAAACATACATGCTCATGTCATGCACACACTCTGACAATGTAACTGTTTTCAGCCTCTGAGCAGCAAGTTGGCTATGTTAAATAATCAAGTAGAAGTAGAGGCAAATAATCAAGTTGCTAACACTACTGTTTCAAGCTTAATGTTCATGCTATGTATGCTCTAGTTGTTTTTTGTTGTTGTTGTTTTGACCATTCGTTAACTGTTAACTGCTTTGCGGGTGTGAACTTATTGCTGTCTCATCACCCTTCACACCCATACAACAAGTGTGTTTATGATTCATTTGCTAGAGCACAAAATTGTTTAGTGCATAAGTTCTTTATAGATCTAACCTCTTCATTTTGCTCTCAAAGTGCACCAGAGTGATGCATCTCACCTTAAAATGTACTAAATATTCTTATGCTGGACCATGCTCAGAGTGAGGTCCACTCAATATAGTTTCACAAAATCATGGGGGAAACAATGAATTAGCATTATTTGGTGGTAATTTGGTGAGCAAGACTACTTATGAAGAAAACTTTCATATTTTAATTTTTATATGACAAAAAATGTATTAGCCTATGAGATGACTGCAATATAACATACTTTATGGGTGACAAAGTTCTTGTATTCCTTCAGCAGTCCATAACTGCTTTGCAACAATACTCTAAAAATACTCAACAAAAAAGAAATACTGATCACTGGTAAACGCAGAGAAAAATACTTTATGACAAGGTTCTATAGCTTCGTATACCAAACCAGAAGTACAAAACCTGGGTATGATCTTAGACTCTGAGCTCTGCTTTATCCCACATGTAAAAGCGGTTACTCAAGTATGTTATTATGATTTGAGACATATTGCTGAAGTTCACCCATTTCTATCTCAGAGCAATGCAGAGAAACTTGTTCATGCATTTGTTACAGGCAAAGAGTTAATTACTGCAATGCTTTTCTTATTGGACTTCCTAAGAAAACAACCCATCCTCTACACCTAAGATAAAAATGCATCAGTACAGATCCTAACAAGAACAAAACAACTCCCAGTTTGAAAAAACCACACTGACAACCTGTATCATTCAGGATAGATTTTAAAGTTCTGCTCCTAGAGCCTTTTAAGGCTCTAAACAACCCACTAACATCACTGTGTCTGTGTTCTCTCTGAGGTCTTAGATCTGCAGATACTGGCCTTCTGCAAAAATACGTCCAAAAAATACAGGAAATGTGTAGAGGTGTCTTTCGGCTTTTTATTTTTCTAAACTGTGGAACTCAATTCCACCTTTCATTTGACAATTAATCTTAGTGCACACTTTTAAGAAACTTTTAAAAATATGTCTCTTTAACTTTGTGTTTAATTAAAACTATGTCTCTTTAGCATTTATCTTTTTAATTTAATCTGTCATTGTCTTATAAGTTTAAAGGAATACTCATAGTTTCTTCTATTAACATTTATCTTCTATTATGCTTTATCACTTGTCTGTAAAACACTCTGACCTGCCACAGGTATGAAAAGTGCTCTATAAATAAAGATATATACTATTATTATATAATACCAAGGTTACCCAAACTAGAGCCTGCAGGCCAAAGTTGGCCCCAGAGAACATTTGATTTGGCCTGCCAGAAAGTTATCCTAACCCCAACTCTCACACAATGAGTGAACACTTTTATACCATATATAACTTAACTATTTCTTTTTTTTTCCTTATAAAAATAAAAAAAGACTTTTTGTAACAACATTACACTAAATGTTAAATAATACATTTCTAAAACTAACTAAACATTGGTGGAATTGTTTATTGTGATTATTATTATTATAATTTATTATTTTTGAACATTCGTGGAATTTGTACTAACTTTTATCACAGTTACATAAAATCAAAGCAACACACAACCTCTTGTGGCTTACTGCTTTATTACATATTTCTTGACTGTAGCCATTACCATCCAAGCAGCTAGACTCTGGCAAAGACACAGACAAATTTTGCTTAAATATTTTCTCTGATCTTAATTTTGTACAAACACAAAAGATGCAAGACAGTTATCTGCTCCCCTTAAGTGACACCGCCCTCATCTGGAGTGTTCTGGTATCACAATCTGATTCTTGCTGTGGACAAAACACCCAACATGTACCACACAGAATGACCATCTCAGTTATTAAAATGAACAACATTTCAATGCCGGTGTTTCAGTAACAGGGCAATAAAGTGAAATGCTGTAAATTGATATAAATGCTGGATTATGGAGAGGGCTGGATCTGTGGAGGGTGATTGCTGTTTTGGATTCTTCTGCCCTGTTTTTACTATTACCACTACATTCAGTCCAAATCCTACCGAGAAGTAAAATGAACACAAAATGACTTTGGCCATTACAGACATTACATTTTTAGTATGGATAAACATTTTCATAAACAATCTCAAACGGCACCTTTGACATCACTTTGTCTGTGTCTTTTGCAAAAGCTGTGGTGTAATGCAATAAAATAAGTATGAATCGTAATTCAAACAAACAAAAAAGTAAAACAGCCTTAACTAATGAGTTAACATTGCCATGTTACTCTTTAAGCTCAAGCTTAGTGCAGCATCTGATACCGCTGATCACAAGATTCTAATCTGGAATAATGGGAAAGCCTCCCAGGAACAGTTTTAGAATGATTAAAATCATATTTATTGAATAGACAGTTCTTGGTTTCACTGACAAAATCATTCATCAAAAAATTTTACATTTCTTGTGGAGTCCCATAGGGTTCACTTTTAGGGCCTTTGCTTTTCTGTTTGTTTCTATCTCAGCGTGACACAGAGAAACTCGCTCATACAGTTTCTACAGGCAGAGTTGATTACAGTAATCACCCGCTTACATCACAGAATGTCTGTCTGTTTATGCTCTAGCACGTGATCTTAGATCTGCAGATACTGGCCTTCTGCAAAAACCCACCTGTAAATACAGGAAATGTGTGGAGGCCTCTTTCAGTTTATTATTCTTCTAAACTGTGGAACTCAATTTCACCTTTTATTAGACAGTCAAGCTCAGTGCTAACTTTTAAAAACTTTTAAAAAGCATCTCTTTAATTTAGCGTTTAATTAAAATTCAGTGTCTTTGTCTTATGTATCTTTTTAATTTGATCTGTCATTGTCTTTTTTTTATTTAGATTTTAAATAAATACTCAGTTCCTTGTACTACTGTTATGTTTTATCACCTGTCTGTAAAGCACTCCAAGCTGCCACCAGCATGAAAAGTGCTCTATCGGTACAGATATTATTATTATGCTTATATTATTTTTATTATTATTATTATTATTATTATTATTATTATCAAGCAATTAACATTGCTTGAAATGTTAGGATAAACAGTTACTGTCACTATACTGACTTTAAAACATTAACAATTTCTGTAACACTGAAGATATCACCTAACCAAAGTTAAACACTTAATTTGGACATTGAGAACTCCTAAGGTGAAAAAACTAATCTAACATCAGTGTTATTTAATATAAGTGACAATAAAGTTAACCCTGAAATCAAAATCTTTTTGCATCTATTTTAGTTCATGTTCCTGGTCATATTAAGCACAATTACTCATAATATCAATCAGAAGACAAAATTATTGTTTTCTAAGGTTTGGCCTGTTTGTAAAACATCTGAGTTTGAAACACATCAGCAAGAGTCAGGAAATATAACCAATAATATCATGTTGAACCACCCCCATCATCGATCTCAGCGAGCTCAGAGACCCACCCTGTCAAGTTATGGTACGGAGGAAAAAATGGATGGAGGTTTCAGATTCAAGTATGTAAAGAATAAAAAACTGAAAGAAGTACTGACCACAATTGCATACTGTCCAGTCGTAAATGTGTTAGCACCTTTAGTTGGCCCCTGGATGTCACGTAGCCTCTTCATCTCCTTCTTGGCCTTTTTCAAATTAGGAACTTTATTGAGGAATTTGAGCTTTGGCTTATCTGGAAGAACCACATCTGTAAGGGAGAAAGGAAAAAAAAAAAATCAATAAACAGTGCAACAATTTATCAGCGCTGATACTATCTCTATCATTTTTGTTTGTTTGTTTGGTTTTTTTGCTTTTTTCTTGACAAACAGACTAGAAATGGTCCAAAATCACTTAATAAGAATAAAACCTCTAACCCAGCTTAAATTGAAAGTGACAAAGCATTTTTTTCTCTGTAAAGTTACCGGTTTTTAGAAGATACAATGTTTTGTTCCAACAGTGACAATATCTATGAAAACAATTACTTTAATAAATATAATGCTATACAAAAATAATACATAACAAAACAATTCAGTCACTAAAATACTTATTAAAATAATTAAATAAAAAATGGGATGTGTTAATATTGATAATAACAACTAATATTATTACTATTATTAACATAAGATTTTGTTCTGACAGCAACAATATTAAACAAATATAATTTTATACAAAAATAATACATCACACTTAAAAATGTATCAAATACTTTAAATAATTTAAAAACAGGCATAATTTCTAGGAAGGATTCATATTATGATTAATGTTGTGTCTTGATATTTCTGTGACTTTTATATGTTTTATGAAACTAAAGTTATTAATTTACCTTCAAGAACAAATTTTATATTTATATATATATATATATATATATATATATATATATATATATATATATATATATATACACACACACACACACACACATAACATATATATAACAAATAATATATAATATACACACACACACACACACATTATATATATATATATATATATATATATTTATTTATATTTATATTATATATATATATATATATATATATATATATATATATACTAATGATGATGCTCATCAGCAGTAGTGGGGATGTGTCATTACCACTGTAGTCTGGAGGCAGCTCGTACGTCTTCAGTCCAGCTGAGAGGACTTTTAAGTGATGCTGCAGGACAGCTGCAGGTACAGAAAGACAGTTCAGACAAAGAATAATGATCCCTCTGATATTTACTCGTAAGACCCGGTTGGATCTCAGTGAAAAACAGAATTAAACAGAGCTAAACTGAGTGTATAACCGCTCCGCTATACCTGAACAGTCCGCTGATCTGCTCAGCAGACCTGCACACGCGCTCCTCACCACTTTCAGCATTGGTTCATCTACAGAATCAGGACCGGACCGGTTTAATGGCCCCGGTGTGGAGACCCGGGTTTAATGGTCACGGTGTGGTGAAGTGACTGAAGTCCTGCCCGCAGTCAGCAAGGTCGGAGCCATCCGAGAGCTTCACCAACATCCGGCGGGCCGTTTAAACAGCGCCGCTGGAAACCGGAGCTGCCGGAGAAGGTTCCTGATGTCTCTCTCTGCCACGGAAGCTGGAAAGCGTTTTAATTGTATTGTCAGTTTTGATATCACTCAGTCGTTTCAGGCTTCCAGCAGGCCTAACATTACCTGAGGCTCATGAGACCTTATATGAGGGGCTTAATAAAGACTAAAGCCCACTCTGTCTCTGTATTTTGCAGGTGTGATATGGTGCCTTCTGCTCGTGCAGTTTTTCCAATGATTTCGTGAATGACCATCTTTCAGTGTGCTTTTGAAAACTAATTGTAAAAGGACAGTCCGCTAAGTAGACGAGGCTGAAGTTTCCTTTTCGTTAGCATCTTATTGGAAATTTCCTGTACCACCTTAAATGGAATTGAACTGCTGCACCGTTTAAGGTGGAACAAGAAGATGACGCATAACAAACTGACCAAACTGACCCTAAGTTCGTGCTGTGTAGGAGAAGTAATGGCCTGTTTGGAAATGACTCACTGAGCAGTGTTTCTCAGCCCTGGTCCTGAGGCCCACGGTTCTGCAGCTGTCAGTATTTTCTCTGCACTCGACACACCTGATCCAACTAATCAGCTCAATAACAATCACATACTGAGTTGGAGTGGGTGTGTTAAAGCAGGAACAGCACTAACAGGTGCAGTGGGCCTCCAGGACCAGGGCTGAGAAACCAGAGTGAGAATAAAGCTTTACCTGAGGTAACATCACCGCTCTACTCACAACACTCACCAGGTTCTTTGGTTTCTCCTCGACTGCGTCCAAATTTCATGATGAACGTGAGAAGATAATTTCTTTCATTCTTTGACGAGGACACTTTAAAAGTTCAAACCTGTTACCTAAATTATAGACTAAAAGTAAAGAAAATCAATAGAATGGAAGTGTCCTCATGCCATTAGCATGCATGCTAGTTAAACACTTTTCTTGCTAATTCTTTGTTTGAAAGAACCTACTTATTTAACCAACTGTAGGCAAGGAAATCTTGTACAAATGAGATATTGTTCCTAAGATGAGGTAACACTGTATAAGATTCACTTATGAAAAGTTTAGTTTTTAAAAGTTACAATAGCTAAATGGCATATTTAGAGAAAGGGCTACAGTCCAATCACTGGGATTAAAACCTGATTGTTTTGCTTTCTAATGGTAATTGGCTTAATTAGAGACCACTAGTTTTCTATAGGACACCTTTAGATTCCATTACGAAACCATCATTTGCATCTGGAATCAGTCCCAGAACACCAGTTAAACTGTTAAGAGTCCTTTACACTGTGATACCAACTCATCAGGAAAACACAGAATACCAGTACTGGCTACAGAAACGTTTAATGGTTTTTATGATTTTTTTCAGAAGGGAGAAAAAAGGATAGCAGAGAGGAAGAGAAGTTTCATTTAGGCTTTTGGATGCAACCTGAGAATTATAATTAGAACCAGATGCTACATGTTTGAATCATCAGGTCAGAGCAGCCATAACAACTGACCAAGTTTATCCTTCAGCCTCCATATCAGGATGAGAAATGTCTACAGTTCAGTTCTTTTCATGGGCATCAGTGTAGATGTTGCTGTGTCTGAAACTGAGCACTATAGGCTGCACATTTCTTCAGTACACACAGCGCTAGTTCACCTGCTTACTTTATGCAACATCCAAGTGATATAATCGGATATCGGAAGAAAACCTCATATCTCCAAAATGGTAACTTTACAGGAAAAGGAAAAACCTGCTTTACTTATAATGTAAATCTATGGAACCAGACTTTTTCCAAGTCATTCTGGCTCATTTCTTTTGGTCCATTCTTCATGAAATTTACACACAATGTAAAGGGCAACATGTATTTTTAAATTATGCCAAAAACTGAAAAACGACAAAAATGGAGATACAAGGTTTTCTTCCGACAGCGGCATCTAGGTACTTTTTATGTGCTGTTTGCTTAATACTGTGATTTCAGATGTACCTTTTATTGAGATGCATCTTTGTGGAGTACTGTTTTGGCACACTATCCAAAGTAGAAGCATGCAATTCTGGGTGCAGTTTTAACATTTTCTCTGCTGTAAACACTCATTCCACTTAACAGTGGACTGATGGCTTGAATTAGGTGTTGGAACATGGAAAATCTGTGCAGGGCAGGAGGGAATGTCATTGAAATACTTACTGTCACTTACTTTCTGAAATATTGGATTTGTAGCTGTATACTGCTTGATCCACAGGTGGTAAATGATGTTGGAGTGCTCTGAACCAAGCAATCAGACTCCATCAGACTTCCCATATTTCTTCACTGAGGATGGACATCTATGCCACAGAGACACTATGAAGCCCTACAAGTTCTCGTTCAAACTTAATGACGTCCACGGAACTGTGAGGGAACATCTGACCCTTTGTCGCTGCATCACGCAGCATGTATGTAGCATCCTTGAGAAGAAGCTTAAACTGGTCAAGGTGCACCTGGACAAAAGAACCCAGGCCGATTCCTATTCTCTTGGTTTTGTGTACACGAGCCCAGGGGCACTTAATCACCACGGGACCCTGATGGTTTTGATCCAGGACAAGGGCACAGTAAGGTGTGGTGTGTGGAGCTGGAGGGCTGTGGCACGTGAAGGTTTAGACAGAGGCAGTCAGATCCCATATGTGCGCTGGGCTTTAGAGAAGTCTTGTGCAGTTTTGTTGATGAACCCAAATGAAGGAGGGCTGTCGCCAGAAGAACATGTCCGCTTGGTCTGGGAGCGCTTGGTGTCCAAGAGTGCTGCGGAGCGCATCACAGTTGTAGCCCATGGCTACGGAGGCCTGGCTTTCGTTCATCTGCTGTGCCATCAACTGGAAGAAATCCGCCAAAGAGTCTGGGCAGTGGCTCTTATTGACTCCTCCCACAATCAGTGGCACCAGCCCCTTGGAGCAGCAGGTCGTGACTGGCTGAAGGCTCATTCTAGAACATGGATCCTCAGTACCAAGCCAACAAACCGCCCGGTAGGGTCCCTCAAAGCAGGGTGCCGAACGATGTCAGCTGGGACGCAGTGTCACGAGACAGCACCTGCAGTCTGCATGGAGGCCGTGTTTCGTTTCTTTGCAAAGGTGATGAGGCCCAAAGCTGTACCTGCTGCCTTTGGCATCATTACCAGGAGCAGGAGCTTCAGAGGGAGTAATCCCAACAGGGAGGCTGGTGGCACAAATGACAGGAACAATAATACACCCTGAATGGGCTTGTTTTCTGTCATGAGTCCAGTGGGATGTGAATGTTGACAGGGTGAACCACTGCATTGGGTGGAATATAAAAGGTGGTGTATGGTTGGTGGATGTGAGATGAATAAATACCTACAAGCTCAATGTGTGTACTATTTATTTCACTCATTAGTTAAAAATATTTCATTTATGCACTTGGATCAGGGGAAAAAATTAATTTTAGCTATGCAACATACATGTGCCACATTTTTAGACAACAGCTGTCATGCAGTATCAGAAACCACACAAGCAAGTCTATTTGAGCTTAGTTAAGAACATGATGCAGTTCGAGGCATAAATGTTATAGACCTGTAATTTTCATGATGCTAATTGGTATAAGCTTCTATTACTTGTTAGCTACATTAGCCTCATAGCTCCAGTGCAAATGTAATGAGGCTTGGCTGATCAAGTACATTTGAGGTGAGGAGAAAAATATGTGAATTTATCTAACCATGTTAAATACACAAACAGCTGTAACAAAATCATTATATACAAACATTTATTTAATGCAAAAATGACAAACATGAACCAAAATTATCATCCAAACTTTGCTGCTCTCTGTTTTCAAAAGAAAACAAGCACATTTAACAATAATTTCCATAGGAAACAAATGGAAACCTTTGAAATATAGTTGCTTTATAGTTACAATCTATACTCGAACACTTCTTTATATAGAACTATAGGCTTAGTTCTTAACTATGTGCATATTCCATCTATCAAAAGCCAAAGTTGGTGGTGACACACAGGTAGCTAGATATCATGGTAGAGGAGATCATATTTAGGTATGTTCCTTGGATCGATGGGGCTTTGCACAATCAGTTTTCCTCTCATGGCTCCTCGGTAGATCACCTCAACAAGATCAATGAAGTCTTGCTTGGTTTTAAAGCATCCAACAAACTTGGTATGGTCTGGAGACCTGGAAAAAAAACAGCATTATGAACATGTATATAAACACACACTATTTTTCCCCACATACCATTTAAAACTAAACATCTTTGACTACAAAGCTGATTCATCATTTTAGTGTCACTCAGAGGACTGACACGTCTACCTAGACGTAATTCCATCTGAGCTGCTATTGAGCGGATTTCATCGTTATATACTCACCCATAATCAACCTTCATGTGCTGTCCATTGAAGAAGAAGACAGTGGAGGGAATATAGCTGATGTCAAAGTATCGAGTGTAAACTGGCACTTTGTCCACGTCCACAAGATAGATTGAAGTCATATTCTTCAAGTCATGGGAGGTTTTTGACAGCTGCCACAAAGAAGTGAAAGGGTATGATTTGCAAAGGCTTTATGATCAGCAGTTACTTGAAGCTTAAATATTCATCTTAAGTTTAAAAACTTCTACATAATTTGATGGTTGAGATGAAAACAAGTCATTCAGAGTGGTTTGGTGTAAAATGCTCCGTTCTAGAGAAACTTGCCGAGTCAGAACTGTTCACAGAATTGTTCGCTGGTGATAGGAACCAGACGTCTGAAGAGTTTAATGCCTCTGAAAGCTCCCTCACATTCAGTTATTGCACAAAATGGTTATGAATACGCTGCCTGAAGTCAGACATTGTTTTGCGATAGCTTCGTGACAAAGTTTTGGCCTAAAGCATCTTATTAATCCATATATTTTAATCTATTCATGGTGGAGAAGTACATGCAGGGTAAGGCAAAACAGCCCCCCTGAGATTTATGGCTATTTTACCATCATCATTACATGTAAAACACTCAGGAGACACGTGCAAGTTCTCTAGTGGTTTTGGATAGTAAAAAAATGGCTATATTTGTAGACATTGTATATATGTTGTAGACATTGAGACGTTTGGTTTCTATCACCACCACTGTAATCTTGAGTCTCTCTACACCGAACCATTTCACATCAAACCACTCTGAACTGTTTACATTGCAACAACGGAATTCTGCAAAACTTTGAAAAATCGTGGAATTGCCCTTTGATGCTTTAAGGAATACATTTTAAGAGGTGTATTTGCATTTCATTTTGGAACTGTCCAAAAACTTGAATCAAAACTTAAACAGCTGTTTTTTTTTTCACTTTTCACAAGAGAATTTACTCTGTTCACTCAAGGCAATAAGTCAGTCTCCTGTCTGCAGTTCTCCAGATCTCTTGGTCCTCGACTGCTTTGCTGTTGCTCACAATTATTAGTTTTTTTGTATTTTAATAAAAAACAATCGCAGAAAAGAAAAGAAGCGAAACCAAACTGCGCTGGCCTAACCTAACCTAACCTACATTACTGAGCTATGGACATACAGAGCTCTGACTAAACTAACGCGAGAAACACTCACAATCTCATCCAGCTGCAGGCAGACAGAGTCCTCATCTCTTCCGAAGCGCAGCACCAGAACTTTCTCCGCCACGGTTTTGATGGCTTCATCGACATCTTTCTTACACGACAGTTTAGGGAGGAAGAAGCTCATTTTGACACGAACTGAGAATAACTGTAACGCTTGACCGCCTCTCTATTCTGGCCGAGCTTCTTCGTTTGGGCTGTTGTCGACAGGCTGAAGCGCGCGAGCCGCTTTGCTGCCCCCTTCAGTACAGAAAACACACTGAAGGAGAAGTCCACCCGTTAATAAAAATTCTGCTTAGTTCAGATGTCAGTAAAGTAATTCAGAGTAATTTGATGAGAAATGGTGGATTGAAGACAAACCTGCCGACTCGGATGATTTTCTCTACAGTGGTGGTGAACGGGGGGTGCAGCATGTCAACACAACTATACACGACACAAATGTAGCCATTTCATTTACTATCCAAAACCACCAATGAACCTACACGTGTCTATATACATGTTTAAATATGTAATGCCGATGATGGTAAGATAGTGGTGTGTGTGTATACACACACACACACACACACACACACACACACACACATATATATATATATATATATATATATATATATATATATATATATATATGTATAGTAAAGTAAAAGAAAATAAAAAGTTACTTAGAGAAAAAATAATAGATAAAAATAAATATAAGTAGATAAAAAGTAGATATAGTAATATACTAATATTGAATGAATATAGTATTGAATATAAATACTATATAATGAATATAGTATTATTATTTGAGAACTTTTTATTCAAGTATGTAGCTGTTACATTTAATATAAGATTATAACATAAAGCACGAAGTGGCAGCTTATGTTTGATATAAATAAAAAAAGACTGCACACAGTAAAAAAAAATATTTATGCAAATATACATAACAAAAATAAAAATTAAAATACAACTAAAAGAAACACAATAGATTAATGTTTAGGTTTTTTTAAAACTGGAAAAAACAATACAAACTCGTTAATTTGGCGGAACCTGCGTTTAGTGAAGAGCGTTTGTGTTTCACTACGGCGGAAATAGTTGACGCATTGCTCGTCAACGTGACCTCAAAGCGAGCTGCGGGGCAGCGCGGTGAGTTTACTGAGAGATGAAGTGACTAAACTGAACCTGTTTCTCTGTCCGGCGGATCCGGACCCTCATCACGCTCGTCGGTTCAGACACCTCGTCTGTGATCGCCGGGTCTGTTCCTGTGATGTTAGCAGGCTAGCTAACCCCAGCTGTCCGTGTCTGCTCTGCTCCTGCGGGCTCTGCCGCTCCTCTGCCATGATCTTTCTCAGGTTTCGTGTCGTGGCTGTGCTGAGGAGGTGCTGCTGCTGTCCTCAGGCGTCTGCAGTTGTAAAATTTCGTAACCCTAGTTTGCCGACGTCTAGTCTGACCTGCGTTTACCCCTCAGCAGTTACTGCAAGCAGAGCCTTGAGTACCAGCTGGACTCTGAGGAAAGACGCCCCTCAGCCTCAGGACCTGGACACAAGACATGAGCTAGACTTGGACGTGTGGAAGTCGGTGATGCGATCACAAGCTTTGCAGGAGGAGAAACTCAAGGACGGAGAAGAAGAATCCACCACTGAAGTGGAGGGAGAGCTCTCTCCGCTGGAGGCGAGCCGCAGGTTGGTGGAGACGTGGCGCCTGGCCGGCAAGCTTGTTCCTGAAAACATTACGGATGAGCAGCTGGAGACGCTGGCTGAGCTGACCACCAAGTCGTCCAAGAAGAAGTTCCTCAAGTACCTGGCTGTCAAGGAGGGCCACAAGAAGGCCAACAAAGAGAAGAAGGAGAGGAAGAGGGCTGAGAGAATGGCTGAAAAGAAGGAGGAGACAGAACTTGCAGATGGAGAACGTGAAGAGATGGATGGAGAGGAGGAAGGAGAACCCAAACTGAAGAACACCTATCTTATGCAGTTCTGGTCTCGCTCTATGGATAAGCTGTTAGGCTGGAGGGTGGCGCAAGCCATGCGGTTCGGCCAGCCGCTGGTTTACGACATGAGCTACGAGCAGCACATGTCGAGGCAGGAGATGGAGAACACCGTCTCACAGCTTCTAGAGACTGAAGGCTGGAACCGGCGGGCTGTAGACCCCTTCCACTTGCACTTCTGCAACCTGCAGCCTAACGGCGCCTACCACCGAGAACTTCTCAAACGCTACAGCCAGGAGACCTGGGAGCGTCTCCTGATCACTACCACCAGCCAGCGTCACATAGACGTATTCCCCCACGAGAGTCTCGTCTATCTCACTGCGGACTCTCCAAACGTTCTCCGCACCTTCGACCACAGCAAGGTGTACATTGTGGGAGCCTTGGTGGACCGCTCCATCCAGTCTGGAGTTTCTCTGGCCAACGCCAAGCGCCTCAAGCTGGCCACTGCCCGTTTGCCTCTGGACGAGTATCTGCACTGGGACAGTGGGGCCAAGAACTTGACCCTGGACCAGATGATCCGGATCCTGATGACAGCCAAGGAGACCGGCAGCTGGGAGAAGGCTCTGGAGTTTGTGCCCAAGAGAAAGCACACTGGTTTCCACCAGCAAAGAAGAAAGGACAATGTTCAAAGTGCAGCACCAGTTAGAGCCACAAACAGAGAGCCGGAGGCAGAAAGTGGTCAATTGTTCGTAAGCAAACAGAAAAAGAGAAATCAAAGGGCAGAAAAAACGCCTTCTGGATCAGAGCGTGTCTCTGGACAGACCAGATTATGGACTGCGCTGAAAACCAAAATGGAGGAACGCAGTAAAGTTAGGAGTAAAAGAAATTGGTGGGATGAAGAATAACCTCATGACTCACAGTTTTAATTTCAAAGACTTTCTGTCCTCATCTGTTCATCCAAAACTATAACAAATAAACAGTTACTCAGTGAATGTAGTAATTCAGTCAGTTAATATGTCGGAGTTAAATAAACAAATTTACATTAAAGGAGAATTTTACTGTTTATTTCATAATTTCTAGCCATTCAGAGTGGTTTAATGTGAAATTATGTAATCAAGAGGAACTTACAAAGTCAGGAGTGTTTACTGTGGTGGTGAAAGGAACCAGATATCTGAACTTTAAATATGTGTGAGAGTTTCCTCACCGGGTGTCATGAGGCAAAATTGTCGCCAAAGAAAACATTTTTCAGATTCATCACTATTTTACCATCATCATTACCAACATATCATACAGTTGTATGCAAATGTTTGGGCAGTGAAATGACATTTAATAATGTCAAGTTTTATAAGTAGTAAATAACACATCCTCTTGAGAGAACACACTTCTGCACATTTTAATTGCTGTTTATTTGGATTTTGAATTTAACACATTCAAAAATAAAACATAAGATGTGGCCTCTGCAAAAGTTGTAGCATGTATTTCTTTTTTCCCCCCAATATGTTTAAGTCCAAAACCAAAATTTGCAAAACAAGTTTATATTTAAGTTTGTTCCCTGTGGGGGATGCTAACTTACTTTCTCTTACAAAATCAACAAAACATAAACTGGGGTGTTGAAACTTTTGCATACAACTGTATAAATAGAAGACGTGTAGATTCACAAGTCATTCTGGATAGTAAATAGAATTACCACATTTACACTGTAGATGCCCCAGTTTCTATCACTACCAGTGTAAAGAAATCAGAGTAACTAATCTGAATGACTGTCTACATCTCAACTATTGAATTATACAGAATTATTTGAAAAATCAGTGGAATTTTAACTTAAAAAGTAAACTTGTAATTGGTGCCTTGGCTTCCCAGTAACAGACAAGCCTTAAAATTAGTAAATATTTCTTTAAAATAGATATTGACCTATATGGTACACATATGTAACAGATTTACAAAATTCAGGATAGTAATTCAAAGCTCTGGTGTGGTTTTACTGCAATTTCACATTTTTTTTGTCTCTTATCAAATCCAACAAAAAAATTGCTTACCAAACTTTATTTTGGTCACTGCAGACAATTATGAATTTTACAGAGAAAAATGTTTTTGAAATGCCTAAAAAAAAAGTCACATTTCACACATCCGTTTCAGTAGAAATGAAACAATTGCATATTGCACCTTACAGTAAGTTCATTAAAGCCTAGGCACAACACTAACCAATCCATTTCCAAGCTAATGCACACACCAGTGCAAATACATAAATATGACACTGCAGTTTCATTCAGTACCAAGTTTTTTGTTTCGTTTTTAAAGATGGTTTCAGCTTGTTCACGCTATTATGCATCACTTTCACAAATACTGCATCATCATACAGCGGGTGTCTACACATCATTCGTCATATACAAATAAACAGGCAAAAGTCTGTCTGTCCTCTGCTGCCTGTTTTGAAAATTCACAAATTTAATGCAACACACATGATTGATATTTTAGACAGAAAATAACATGAAATTCAGACTCCTATAAATTGAAGACTTCCTCTTCAAAAGCAGCTGTTGCATTGCACACTGCATAGTCCAAAACTGCAAGAATTTCATCAGTTCATCTGTTTTAAATTAAGCATCTTTTCTGGATCACAGGTACAAATACTTGTGCAAAGACATGGCAAGTCACTCTACCTCAAGACCACTGACATTCAAGGTCTGATAAGTAGGCTAGAAAAAAGACAAACAGCTTAACGTTGCAGGAAAGTTGCTACTATTTAAAACATTTCATTGTATGCTGGTCAGACTTGTTGAGCGAGTCCATGTGTGCTCTCTCTTTGGTATTCACAAAAATAGACAACATATTGTTATTTGACATGATTTATATTGATAAAGACCACTGAGTTGTACAAAACAGTAAGAAAGTCAGCCCTATTGTCACGACAGTACAGTAGTGGTCTCTGTCTTCTGATATGACCATCAATGATCTAGTCTGAATAAATACCTGCTCCTATCCAACTTTCTAATAAAACGTAGTTGCAAAAGAAAGAAAATATTGAATAAGGTTGCTGTCTACTGGAGGTAAGAGTAGACATTAGTTTAAGATAAGTTCATCTCAGAGTACTAGAAGTTCCCCAGAGCAGCGCTCACAACAGTTGAAGGTGATGTTTTCGTATCGAGTGTATGGGTGGAAACGTCCGATGCTTTTCTTGTTGGGCAGGAAAGGAGAAGTGGTGGGGTCAGAAGCTGCCGGCTCACCTTTGTTGTCTGAGCAGGCAATGGGGTCTAGATTTCTGAGTACCTAAATTGGGACCAATGTCAAGAGGAATATTTCAGTACACCTGAATATGACCTGCAATGTCATATTACTTTAGAAAGAAAATATTGCATCTTCAAAATGGAAACTTAGGAGAAGGAAAAAAAAACATTATCTGTTATGGTCCATTAATCATTAAATGTTCTCACTGTAAAACTGTGTAAAAAAAACTAAAGAAATTTTAATTACAATAATATAACTTTATATTACATTCCATCAGATCTTAATCACAATCTCTGCATGGAAATCTGTCCACAGTCCAACAGAAAAGAAAAAAACGGAGAATCTATTGAAAAATAAATATTAAGGAGTTTCATACCTTCTCTGCCATCTTCTCAGCCGGCGTATTGCAGAGTTCTGAAGCTTGGCTGCTCTTCACAGTAGTGTTGCAAGTGCTGCTGCCCACATTTCCCAGCAGGTGGGAGTTGATGGCATCAGCCAGCTTGCGATTGGCTGCAGCGAGTTCTCCGGTGCTGAGAGGCTGGGCACTGGGGTAGTAGGTTTGCCGTCTACCCCACTGCAAGGAGACTAGCAGCTGCTCCAGAGACCTGCACATAACAGAACATAAGTGAGCTGTTTCTATTTCACCCAAAGACCTGAAGCAAATCCAAGATCTAATCATCATTGCTGAACGACATCTAAAATGGACCTGACAGTTAACGACTGACTGTATTATTTAAGCATGTTTTCTTTCGTTTCTAATCAAAAACCATGTCTCTTTAGTCTTACCTATGCGTGTACATCATATCTCGGGAGAATTCCTCCCTCTCGAGCAGCAGGTCCTGGATGGCGCTCTGGGCCTCTCTGGTCTGCCGCTGGAGAGCAGCTCTGGCGTTTGTCAGCTCCTCAGCCATCACTCTAGATTTCAAATGCACAGATGACAATTAGGCCTGAAATATCACAGAATTGCTTGTGGTGCCACATAACATAAAGTGAAAGTGTGCAGGTCACGTTATAGCAAAAGCTACATATAACTTTAAATTAACATAAAAGTAGCTGGATAGGTATTATACTAGAATCCCAATTTGTTTATTTTAAACTGTCCAATTTTGCACAAATTTGATATTTCTGCTTTTTGTAAAGAGCTAAACTGAATTTTAAAAATCTGGTATTTTATATGACTATCTTAAGTAAAGTGCATTAAAATAGCTCATTTTAAAGCTTAGGTTTTTTCCAAGAAAATAAATATCTGGTATCGGAAAAAAGAAAGTGACATGCCACCTCTACTTGTAAGAACAAATATCCCGATATATTTGCGTATATTAAATGTAGTGGCTAAACACAGCTGGACTGTGCAAAAACAATGTATGTCCTATAAATAAACACTCACCGACTGGCAAGAAACTTGCTCCTCCAGACATCACACTGAATACTCATGCGCTCCAGCTGCTCTGCAGTGTGAGCGAGGTTACGGCCCAGTGCTTCATTCTCCAGTATTAGCTGGTTCTTCTCTCTTGCCAGTCGCTCAAAGTGGTACTGCAAGTCATCGCCTACTGAGGCCACCAGTAGCTTCTTCAGCTCCCTGTTTACCTGCATGTGAAGGTAAAGAAGAGGAACTGATGGCAAGTTGTACCAAACTGGCATAATTTTACATTCTATTTATAGAATTTGACTAACACAATAAGTAATGTTTTCGCATAGAGGAGAAAACTTACATAGAACTTGGCTTACAGCAAGATTTTATGCAATTTTAGTCACTCTTACATAAAGCAGAAGACTAATTGACTCTCAGCTGCTCTACCAGATCCTCCTGTATGTGAAATTCTACACTAACATCTGTTCCTTTACAATGTTCCACCCTTTTCAGGAGAATTGCTTTCATTTTTTCCCCCCAAACCTGCAGAAATATTTTTCCACACCTCTGAAGTTCCTTAGTTCTTAGAAGTTGGCTGCAGTTTCTACTTCTACTTCATCCCAATTACAAATATAGACTCATCAAACCTCATAAAACCTTAGTCCACATTTCAGATATCCAGTTTTGATGTTCTAGTGTAATTTTTATTTAGTCATTAATGGCTTCTTGGTAGCTGCACATCCATGCAGACCCATAGCATTGAGTCGTTTTCTCACAGTGGAAGGATTTTTTTTTTAGATCTGAAGCGAGAGTGGAGTGTATAAATTTAATCCCAGTGTAGTGCATCACTGTCTGTGCAGTCAGTGTCTGAAGAAAACTCTTTGTGATCATGGTCTGTGTGTAGCAAAAGCACCACTACCATTCCTCCATCTCTAATAGGCACAAATATCCAGGAACCAAAAAAGGTGCATACTGTTTTACACTGATAAAACATGTACCAAATGTACTGAAATATCTTCAAAAAAAGCTCCTGAAAAATGAAGAAATTAAGTACCTTATGGTTGTTTTGACCATAAATTAGATCAATTAAGAATTGTCTCTGACCTTTGAACTGTACCCAACCTCAGCAATTTGCCTTGTACAAACCACATGCCAAAATCACACAGTTGCCCAAAACTGCCTTGATTAATTAATCTTTTACATGTTTGCTTATGCGGTTTCTAAAACTATTATCTACAAAAACAGACAAAAGTACGATGCACAGCTAAAAAAGAGTAGTAGTGTCTATCTTGAAGCCTGAATTGTGTCAGTACTTGTGTCCTTTTTCGATAAAACTACAACATTTCCATTCCTTTAGCTAAATAGTAACGACTCACCTCTGTCTGAACACGCAGCTGGTTGGAGAGGCCCTCTTTGTCCTGCAGCAGCCTGCGCTCAGAGTTCTGGAGCTTCTCCAGGGCGCTCCTGTAATCCTGTGGCTCTGGAGAGGGTGAGGGTGGCCGGTCCTCACCATGCTGCGGAGAGGCTCTGTCATCTCCTTTGTTCTCGTGAGCCCCGACTCGGCCACTTCGGCTGATGGCAGCACGGGGCACCACAATCCTCACAGCCTCCACCTCAGTGCAGGCCTCCCTGTTCACTTTTCCCAGGTGGAGCACTCCCGGAGAGTGTGGTGATGCTGGAGCAGTCTTGAGTGCTGAGTGCTGCTTTGGTGACGGTACCTTCAAGGCTGGGGTCTCCACTGAGATCTCCGGGGCCACCACCGGTTTATCTGTCTCCATGCCATCTCCAGGGCCACGGACAGGCACAATGGCCAAGTCTGAGAGTGGAGAAGATAAACTGTGAGATCAAATACACAAACTGCGCAATCTGTTGAATCTGCATACATGCCTAGTTGGCTGAGCAGATATTTTGTCTAAGGAAGTCACAAAGGTATGTAAAAAACATAATATAGAGATTGTATGGAAGATTACTCACTCTTCATGGCTACTTCAACAGACATGGTTGGAGAAGACTGTTAAAGTGGCAGCAGAAGTGTATCGTGAAAGATCCCAGACAGTAACAATCTGTATGGTTGGCTTTCCACCTTGAACAAAAAAAAGACTTCAGTTCAATAAAGAATCCTTGGTAAATGCTTAAGACTGAGGGCCAATATACATAAGTCAGTTTCAGATCCAGATTAAGTCTAACTTAGGCTAAAAAGTATTTCCACTGGTGGTTCACCACTGGCACTGCAATTTAGTCCAAGACCAGGCCTAATCCATGTTCAGGAAACCACCCTAAAATACTTTTTGAACTTTTTTTTTAGATTTGCCTCTATCAACACTACATATAAAAACTTATGTAGGATCACTGGTGGTTTTGGACAGTAAATAAAATGGTTTTCATTGTGCTGTAGTTGGCTGGTTCCTATCACCACCACTGTACAAAAATCAGAGTCAGTAAGTTTCTCTACCATGAATCATTTCACGTCAAACCACTCTGAATGGCGTTCCTTATTCCACTGAATTAGGCAGAAATTTTGAAAAATGGGTGGAATTCCCATTTATGTGATTCAGATGTCTGGTTCCTATTACCGTCACTGTGTTTTAATCAGTCAGACCACTCTGAATGACTCTGTTCACATCTAAATCATTTAATTATGCAGAAAAAAATTTCCCTTTAACACCTAATAACTTACTCTATGTACATACTATAAGCAGAGAAGTATTTCTGTAAGGCATGCTGGTGGTGTACATTGCTTAAATCCCTAAGCAACCAAAACTGCAACTCAGCTGTTTTGTAGATAAGCTAGACAACAAGCTGTTGTGTAAAAGTCTGTTAATCAACAGTAACAACTACACACTGGTCCTTCAATGGTTCTTTAGTAAAGACACCGGTTCTATTTAGAACCATGAGTTCTATGTACAACCATTTCCAGCTTAAATGGTTCTTTGCATGATCAGATTAGTTGAAAATGTTTCTGTGTAGCACCAAAAAGGTTCTTCTATTGTTACAAGTTTGACACGTTACAAAAGCAAATCCCTTTTTGGTGCTATATAGATTCATTTTCTATAAAGAACCGTATACAACACATTCTCCGTCAATCTGAAGAACCATTTTCCATGCAAAAAATGAGTTATGAGTAAATTGTTCCATATAGAACCGTTGTCTTTACTAAGGAACCCTTGAAGAACCATCTTTTTTTTAAGTGTGTACTGACAGTAATATCAAAATAAACTTCACATTTAGATTCACAGGTGTTAAATGTCGTACTGTTCAGAGTCTTAACCGAATGTCGACAGTTTAATGCAGTTAAAAAGACAGACAGACAGCAAGAACTGGAAAATAAGCTAAAGTGAAATCACAAAAATAATCAGAGCGGTTCTGGGTTAGCTAGGTTAGTATCCGCTATCGCCAAGCTACTGAAACAGCAGCTAACAAACGAATTACCGGTGTTGAAACAGCGTTTCGCTGGTGAGTTTAGTAGTTACATCCCTTCACAACCTCCGCGACAATGTTTGTGAATCACCCCGTTTTTATCGTTATGGTCGTGTTTTATGACCTGCTGAGCGAACATTAACAGCCAGCTGTTTATGGCCGGTAGGCTAACGCTAGATAACCCGAGCTAGCTATTTGGCTAGCGATCAATACAACCCGCTTTCGGGGGGAAAAAAGCAGCATAAAACCACTACGCCGAAACAAAACATACGGGATTTTTTTGATAGGTATTACACGGTCATATAAATGGCAAGTAACGTTCGTCAAGTAAACAGTTCGACTACAAACATCGACATTTTTAACCACTCCTGCCACGTAACCTACCTTTCTCACCAGCAGCCGGAGTTCCCCATTTTCCCCTCCGACTCGGAGCGGAACTGATTTACACAGTGAGTGTTTCCGCAAGACATTTCCAAGTAACGTTACGCGAACGCTGCTAGAAACGGAAGAGCATTGTGCTAGTTAGTTAGATTCGCCGGTGAAAAGTTTGTTATTAGTCTATAAGAGTTGCAGTTGCGGCAAAATATATAGCTCCGTACAGTGGCACCGCATAGAGGTTTATTTGCCCTGTGAAGGCAGTAAATCCAAGAGAGACACGATAGTAGCTGTGTGGGCTCTTCGGCTGGTTATTGTTGTGTCTCAGAGGGCTCTGTACTCCCTAACTAGGGCACTAGGTTTACAGAGGGCACAAAACCATGGATTCTACACTCAGATAGTGCACTAGGGGGTCCGATAGGGATCCACTTGAGTTTCAGCCGTAGCAAAGAGCTCCTTTCACGTTGCCTCTCCCCGTTGTAGGTGTCTGAGACCTATGAGAGGAGTGCAATGGGAGTTCACGGGTTATGGAAACTGCTGGAGAGCACAGGGAAGCCCATCAACCCTGAAACACTCGAGGGGAAGATCCTAGCAGTCGGTATCCTTTCTACTCTAAGTTACACTCTTGATTCTGTCCTTCTGCCTCATGTTGTTCACTGATGAGCCATTACTTTAAAAACACCTCGTTGTTTCTACACTCACTGTCCATTTCATCAGCTCCGCTTACCATATAGGTGCACTTAGTAGTTCTACAATTACAGACTGATCTTTTTCTCTGCACACTTTGATAGCCCCCTTTCACCCTGTTCTTCAAAGGTCAGGACCACCACAGAGCAGGTACTATTTGAGTGGTGGATCATTCTCAGCACTGACGTGGTGGTGGTGTGTTAGTGTGTGTTGTGCTGGTACAAGTGGATCAGACACAGCAGTGCTGCTGGAGTTTTTAAACACTGTGTCCACTCCCTGTCCACTCTATTAGACACTCCTACCTTGTTGGTCCACCTTGTAGATGTAAAGTCAGAGAAGATAGCTCATCTGCTGTTGCACAGTTTGTGTTGGTCATCCTCCAGTCCTTCATCAGTGGTCACAGGATGCTGCCCACAGGACTCTGCTGGCAGAATATCTTTGGTTGGTGGACTATTCTCAGTCCAGCAGTGACACTGAGGTGCTTCAGCAGCACTGCTGTGTCTGATCTGCTCCTGATCATTGAAGGGTAAAAGGGTCTAACAAAGTATGCAGAGAAACAGATGAACTACAGTCTGTAATTGTAGAACTACAAAGCACATCTGTATGGTAAGTGGAGCTGATAAAATGGACAGTAAGTGTAGAAACAAGGAGGTGGTTTTAATGTTATGGCTGATCAGTGTATTTGAAAGCTGCAGCTGTGCAAGTACCTACAACTAAATCAATTGCGTTTACCATGTACGCCTGTGTAAGTGAACAACCGTCCATTTCAGCTTCTGTTTTACAATATTTAGCTATTACATTTGCAATATCGTTTACAGCAGGAGGAGCTGTGTAAATGCCCTAGTACTGTAACGAGTTGTTTTGCTTGCTTTCAGAGCTAAGAATTAAAAGCAGTTCTCCACACAAAGAGCTATCAGAGCTGTAGCTACAAATCAGGACTTTAGATACCATTTTGGTTATTGAACATTAGAGGGTTCTGAATTTTGTCTATGGTAAATTTAGAGCGGAGACATAGCTAGAACCTTTCTAAAGGGGTGGCCCAGTTAGACGCAGCGATTTTGTTGGGGTGGCAAACTTCCAGGGAAAAAAAGGTGTGATAGTCACCTCATCTTACCATTGTTTAGGTTTACTTATTATATAATGTAGCAGACAGAGCAGGACTGCTGAAGTACACTGGGCAAAATAATTACTGTGGTCATAATTCTATGAATATTAACAAAATAATAGCATTATTAACTGATAAACAGCATTTTTAAATACAGTTTCACTCTGAAAAAAAAATGAGTGAATTTATCCAGTTATGTGAAAAAATAGCATGTTTTTTCTGTCATTTTGTGCTCTCTCCTAAATACTGTTAAAATGTTACATTAATCCACATAAAGCACAGTGTGTAACAAAAATACTGTAATGCACCGATGTAGGTTTGCTTAGGTGTTCTCAAATGTTTTCCTAATGTAGAAAGCCAATGTTAGCTGCTTTCTTAAGCAATATAACAAGGATAATGGTATTAACGGGTGACAATGTTTCTTGGGAGGGTTGCACTGGCCACCCCTGACCACTCCTTACGTCCCTAATTCAGAGTGTGAAGGTTGGCGGGCAGGCTTTGTAAGAATAAGATTACTGAGAGCATTTCCAAAACAACTAGCTTGTCTAGTAGGTCTCAGCAGGTCTATTGTATTGTTTTTAGTTTGGATACTGATAACAACAGGAATGCTGAGGCAGTCATTAATGGATTCCAGTAGTCACTTAGTGTTAAAAACAGAAAAATATATATGATCCCATATCCCATAGGACCTGTGAACCCAAGCTGCTTTTCTAAAACGTGTGTGGCATGTGCTGTTCAATGGTGTGTCTTTGCCATCCTTGACGTCTGGATTCACAGATATCAGTATCTGGCTCAACCAGGCAGTAAAGGGGGTCCGGGATCGGGATGGTAACAGTGTCCAGAATGCCCACCTTCTCACACTGTTTCACCGCCTGTGCAAGTTGCTCTTTTTCCGCATCAGGCCCATCTTTGTGTATGATGGAGATGCACCACTGCTTAAGAAGCAGACCCTGGTGAGTAAAGGCTGCAAGCATGGAAGATACACAGAGACACATTACTGTATTTGAGAGTAGAGCGTGCTACTAAGTGGGGCATCAGGTGTTTAATGAAAATGAATGGGGGTACAAAAAGTAGAACAATGCTTTTCCTTGGCACTCTTCTAGAAATAAAAAGCCTCAGTTGCAAAATTTGCCAAACTTTTTGACTTGATAGGGTTTGTGCTGGGCTGAGGACCAGAATACAAAACAGTATACCAGTAAAGAAGGTAGGTAGGGTTACAAATCAGGTGTTTAAATCAACATGAAATCAAAATCAACCTCTTTTTTAACCTTGTTAGTTGATGTTTCTTTTCATGTAAAGCACAAATTCATCATATATCATTGGTAAGACAAAATTCTTGTTTCCATCAAAATGTAATGTTTTTTGTTCACCTATAAAGCGCCTATCTGAATTTTGATTACGAGACTGTGCACCAGCAGATGAGGAAAAGTAATATTAACCAATAATATCACCTCCTCCCACCCACCCAGCTTTCTAGTGGGTCATATCAAATGTTTTCAGCCAGTTTTTTTGGGCAGCCCAGTTTGGTTGTTTATTGCCAGTGGCCAGGAGGTGAAAAGCCACTTCAACACATTTTTGTAGGCCTTTATCAGTCACACCAAATAAAACAACAAATAAAAAATATGCTTTTGAATACAAACATTTGATCAATATTTACTCTCCCTGGTTGGCTTTTTAACTTTTTGTCCATAGCCTTGATACTTTTTAATTTCTAGAAGAGTTCCATGGAGATCCATTTTTGAACGGATGGCAGTGCTAAAGGTGTTGTATTGGAGTAGAAATGAAAATGGTTGTACCTCAGGCCATCAGGAGACAGAGGAAGGAGGAGATGGCTCATGAATCAAAGCAGACCAATGAGAAACTCCTCAGGACCTTCCTGAAGAGGCAGGCCATCAAAGCTGCACTGGGGGACCGCAGGTTAGGACGCAGTACAAATGTCTATATTACAACTGTTGATAAAATACAGTAAAAGAATGCATCAGACAGCTACATGTTTTTGGTTTTTTCAGTCAAGAGACAGTTCCTAGTATCTCCTCAGTTCAAAGAGATGCGGAGGATGACATGTACGTTTTGCCAGCACTGCCTCCTGTAGAGGAGGAAGAGAGGAGTAGGTAAGAAAACAACACACTGTAGAGTCAGTTTTTAAAAAAAATTACTTAGTGCATTTTGACCATAACCATTACTTTCAACAAACCCTATCTTAGCTCTGATGAAGAAGAGAACAGAGATGGGGATGAGATGCCAGAAGCTTATCTCAGATTTCAGGTGAGATTAAGCAGTGAAACCCAGTCTGATGGATGAAATGCACCAAGTTTAAATCAATTCAGGATTATGTTATCCTGCTTTTTCTTATTGTTTATGTTTCAATATAAATGCCTTCGAAAGGAGGAGTTCTGTGACAATCCCAATTCCGTTGACATAAACTCTGAGGAGTTTTCCCTCTTATCACCGGAGATCAAACATGAGATCTTGAAAGAGATGAAGGAGTTTACCAAGAGAAGACGTACATTGTACCACACACCTCCAGAGGTACAGCAGACATGCAGATACAATGACCTATTGACCGTTACAGCAGTTATACTTTAGTGCACTTTCCCTTTCACAGTCATTCAGATATTTTAAATATTTGATTATTGATAAATCTGTAAAATTATTCTAACATGGTACTAGTACTCATAGGATTCAGATCATTTGTGTGAGGCTGTTAAAAAAAAATAATAAGAATTTTTATACATATAGGTCTATATGTTACAGTATATTAAATAAATACATAAATTAATTAATAAAACATTTACAGTGTTATTTATATCTTAGTTATTTTTGTTATGAAAAAGAAATATATTCCTAAAGCTGCACTATGCAAGATTCTTTGTTAAAATTGAAAGAAGTATCATAATTGAGTCAGGCTGAAATATGGTATTTGGTACCAACCCTCTTCTGGAGATCTACTTTCCTGCAGAGTTTAGCTCCAATCTGCATCAAACATGCTGCCCCTCCCTTTACCTAACACTACTGCATCTGATCCAACCAATCAAGAACTTCTGAAGAATTTAATTAGTTGGAACAGGGGTACCAGATTGCGATTGGAACTAGATTCCACAGGAAGGAAGATCTCCTGAACCAGGGTTGGTGACCACTGCTGCAAAGCTTGAAATAGATAGAGGTGGTCAGATTTGCCAAGAGTTTTTCAGACCATGCCATGTGTCTG